TTGTATATATTTATAGGGTACAATGTGCTGTTTTGAACTATGTTTACATTGTGGAATGATTAAATCAAGCTAATTAACATACCTCCTCCCCCCCAAAAAACTTGGGACTATTGAGATAGAATGTTTGTATTTTGCATTGTGAGAAAGACATGAGTTTGTGGGGGAACAGGGGCAGAATTCTGTAGTTTGAATATGGTTTGTGGCGACCAAAACTCATGTTGAGGTTTGGTCCCCAATGTGGTGGTGTTGGGAAGTGATGTTTTTAAGAGGAATTAGTGCCTTTCTACTGGGAGTGAGTTCTCTCTCTCCCAGACTGGATTTAGTTACTGTGAGAGCACATTGTTATATAAAACTATAAAGCGAGGCTGCTTTTGGCATATGCCTGTTTCTCTGCCATATTATGATGAAGTATAAGGCCCTTACCAGAAGCTGGCCAGATGCAGGTGCCTGACCTTGGACTTCCTGGCCTCCAGAATTGTGACCTAAATAAACCTCTTTCCTTTATAAATTACCCAGTCTCAGGTATTCTGTTATGGCAATAGAAAACAGACTAAGACGACCTCCTAAGTAATCAAAATATATGGTAAATTAACAATGTTTTTATAGACATGTCTCACTTTGTACAAGTGTTTAACTAGAAAATTATGTATACAATAAATATAACTCAGAAAAATCTCAGAAAATTAAATGTAACTCAGAAAAAATCCTGTTACATATACTAACCATTTAAAGGAGACCAGTCTTGGGGGAAAAAATGGCGGAATTAAGGTAGCCTCCCGGATCCCTGCTTCCAGAGAAAGAGAGGTAGATCTCGGTCTGCTACACATGATCGGATCGCTCTCCCACAAAAACAGCGAGGTGAATCGGTGGAGATTCAGTGGGGGACACACAAATCAGGAAAAAGAATAAGGTGAACGGGAGACAGGAATCCAAAACCTGGAAAGCGCGGGACAGACAATAGAGAGTGGAGTGTGAGACGGCGGCGCCAGCCTGGCCAGTAAGTAGGTGCACCGGGACAAATCCCTCACGAGACAGTCTAGCTTCTCCACTGACTTACAAGCCCACTGAGAGGCAGGGGCTTGTGTGAAGTGGATGTAGAATTGGGTCAGGAAACGTGGGGCTCAGCAGAGAGGGGACACGAGCTGGAAGCAACTTGAACTCCCCGCTCCGTGTCAGGACTGCACCAGACAGGGGAGGAGCTGGTCTGGGCTACCTCTGGAGGCAGTTAGGAGTCAGGAAGCTGGTATCTGGCACCCAGCGGGTCCTGAACGGGGAGATGATTACTGAGTAGAGGACTCTAACCTGGAAACTGCCGCTGGCGATTGGGATTGCTCAGGGTGGACCAGTAGAAGCGAGAGCTATTGCCAGACTGGCGTGAGATTGGGGGAGGGAGACACAAAGGAGACGGCGGAGCACCCTGGCGACTCGACTGACTCCCTGATGGGGTACCTCCCAGCCCCTGAGCGGCTGCCTCTGGAGCCAGCGCACTGGGGGCCGGCGAGCGCCAGCTCGGGGCCCACGGCAGGTCGCAGGTGCGGAACGGCTCCCTTCCCCTAGCCTGGGAACTCTCGCAGGGAGCTCTGCCCTTCCAGGACCTAAAGTCAATTAGCCAGGCCCCTTTCTTTGAGCGGTGAATTCTGAGTGCCTCCTCAGTTCTGAGGGGAAGACGCCTGTGGAAGCCGAAGGCGCTGGGGCATTGGGCAGTCTGGGGAAGCACCACTTCCCCCGGGCCAGCACCTTCTGTGTGGCCTCTGAGCTTGCAGCAGCGAGACATAAAGAGCCACTCCCCCTCTGCGACAAGCGCCAGTTCCTGGGGATTTGGCACTGACCAATAGCTGACAGCCCAGTGACTTTCCTCGCCAGACTGGTTCAGGTCATCCAGTACAATTGCATTTCCGCCTCCAGTCAGCTACCAACAGAGAAACTCACCACCAGGGAATCAAAACCCTGGCAAGAGACCAAAACAACCTCCCCAAGTAACCCCTCCCATCAAGAGAACCCTGGACAACATACTAGCGGCTCCCTCTAGCGGCAGAACAAAAGTAACAGCGGATCAAGATGGGAAGGACCCAGCGAAAGGTTTCT